GCGCGAACGGCCTCCGCGTGCCCAAGAACGGCTTCCAACGTGCCCAAAAACCTGACATCTGGCGTCCCAAACGGCCTCCACGGCACCCGAACCGGCACCCCAAACCGCACATAAACAGACCCCTTGTGACCCCTGTTTTCGAGGCCCGAAAGGACACCTCCCCAAAACCCTCCTGCCGCGGGGTCTGGCCCTCGAAACACGGCCAAATTTGACCACTTTTGGGCGTTCCTAACCCCCACACCCCCTTAGTACAGATCAGCAAAGCTGGACCTGGACGAAAGCTAGAGGAAGCTTTCGTAACAAAACCTTCAGAAGTGCATCGCAGAGAGATCATGGGCGCCTTTTGTCCGCAAAGTCATCTGGAAGCTTCTTGTACTTTTTGTCGCCTCGGCAAGGAGAATAAGCACTCCACCTACACGCCACTTGTGGTCGGCGAGTACCAGGTACTGGCTCTTCCGACATGTACAGAGTCGTGCAGTACCTAGATATCTTCATGCTGAACCATTTCTGTGGCTACTCAACAATTTGCACCTGCACCAAAGGGTACCACAAGAAAAACATCTTGGATCACACAAGGAAAGTCCAACCATCTTTCACATGTCTGGCTGAAGGACTACTGCTGGGCCGAGAGATACGAGACTTTACCCTGGGCTGCTTGGTTGTCCTCACCAGCCACGGACGAGATAAATGCCTTAAGGTCGCTGCCATGATACTTTAAAGATCCGCAACAGAGCCAGCAAAGTAAGATTCACGTGTGATTTAGATTTTGAGCCAAGTGAGTCAAGCCGGCATCCTGGCGGGCTAGGCTCGTAGCTCTGCTTCTTGCCAAGGGGCGTGAGCGAGGAGAGCGAGAGCGGCGCGCCCCCGAGCTACTGCGCTTCCTTCTAGGAATGATCTGTCCAATGCTCAATAAGGCACAGCCACGAGCCTCCGGTTGGAGGATGAGCGACCTCTCCGCCTGGGGGGCGTTCGCGAGCGCCTGAGATACAAACGAAAAAACGCAAGTTTCATCACGTTTCATCTGCGGTTTGAACCTTAGAGAGGTGGTGCCTGCTGCGCGAGTCCTGCCGCCGTGGTCGGCGAGAGTCGGATCTGGTCAGATTAGCTGCAGATGTCTAAGCATGTAGGAACAAGCGATACCTTGAAAAGGCATACTTATGCTTCAAATGGTAAGGGAGGATGTCAAATGACAGTTGATGCTCACTCGCAGTCTGAAGATTGCGAGGCATGGCTTTGATTGGCGGCCTCGAGCGCGAGCGAGATGCGCGTCGGCTGGGGACCTGGGCAAGCAAAGAGCAACAATCCTGAATCCAAATGACGCGTCAAAATCTGAAGCGCACCTATGCATTCCCACGCGGCTTTCAAATGACTGCATTGTGAAACTCCATTGCAGCGCATGGCAAGCACTACAAACAAATCCGAAGAACTTGAAAGGCACAACTGGCATGGTCTTTGGGCCGTCAGTAGGTAATGACCACAGCAGCTCATGCTTGCAGGATGCGTCGTGGTCGAATCTGCTGAGGTCGTTTCTCTTCGGCCGCGGCTTTCGCTCCTGCAAGCAAGCAATCTTTCAGCGCACATTTGCTGACCTGATCCTGCCACTTGCATGAAGATCTGCAACCCAATCGATAACACGTACGCTGCGACATTATGGCGCCTCCGTCTGGAGTTGCTTCTGCTGCCCATCTGCCAGGATGCTAGTGTCCACTAAAAGCTATACCAGCCACTTTCCACCACCTGGCCTTGCTTGCTTTCCAGTCATACCGGGATCATACTGGGGTGGGGCTGTATCCTTACTCCTCTATGATTACTACACTATTTCTTCTACATTGCATCGCCCAAAGCCTAGGCTTCTCAACAAGATGCTCACCTGAACAGAATGACTGAGCAGCTCATATTATGTTACGGTCAGCGTGGGAAATGCTCATGTCACATGTCTGTTTAAGAAATTTTCAGCGTTGCGTTAGCTCCCATCAGCTCTGCTACTGAATCTCACTTTCAAGCCGCGAGAGGCTGCGCTTCGCACGACTGCAAGAACAATGGCTGCTGATGTAGCGGTACTTGGAGTTCGCAGATGTCCTGCTGATCAAAGGGTTCAGCGCAGTCCAATGAACAGCAGCAGTCCAGGAGCAAATGAAGCTATGCAGTCGACCTGCATTTTCGATGCTCTGGTGCGAGGCTTGAGGGAGCTTCTTATCCCTCTCCCTACACGAATCAAGTCAGATTGCACCCTGTGGCATCATAGATTGTCAAATACGACGTGTTGCGTCCTAATCACAGCTAGACTATGGGGCCGCTTGAGTAATGGTTGCTTAGGATGTCCATCTGAAGCGGCTCTGCCCGGTGCTCACCTGTCCATGACCTGCTGCAGCAAGACGTAAAGTCAAAAGAATCATAATCTCCAGCTGCAGCAGCTGATCATGTATTCATGCTATTACCGTTACTATTAAGTGTGTTTAGCAACTACACCAATTTACACACCTTCAGGAGCCACAGGCCAGCCACATGAGCGAAAGGCCACAGAGCGGCCTGGATCGACACAAACTGTGAATGATGTACCAGCTCGACCTCGAGGCGTTTAGCAGGTTGCACTGCTGGTTTAGGGATATGCAATGTGGACAAGATCACGGAAACTACTATGCTACATATTGGGGTTACATGGGGGTTATGTATGAGGATAAAATGGGAAAATTGACAATGAAACGGAAACTCATTTATATAGGGTTGTCAAGGGATTATGCACTGATCTGAAGTGCACGTGGCAAGGTTGAGCAACATTACCTTGTGTAAGGTACGCACGGTTACCTTTTTGCGAGCGAGCTCCTGCATGTGATGGACATCAAGAAGGACAATCCCTGCTATTCCTGCAAACAGACTTCAAATTATTTGCCAGGAGCTACCCTCCCAAAAGGAAAGGCATCCTTGCCCCAGAATGTCTTGCAGCACGGCAAGCCCTTTTCAGATTGTGTTATGCCTGCTAGCTGAGTCTTCTTGCTTTAGCAGCTATCTGCAAGCTCTGCTCTGAACATCACATACTCTATCTAATACACTGAGCAGCTCTACTGAGAGATTATCGAAAGCAGCGGAACTTCCCCAATTTGGCTGTGCCATGCTTGCCACCTCTGCACCGGAGTCCAGGCATCGAAGCAGCTGTGTGACCCCCAACTGGTTTGCAACCTGGAGCTCAAGCACCAGGCAGGGATGTCCAACGGCAATCAACCCTTTTTGCTCATTCATGCTGGGCTACGGACGACAACCCGCCGCAGGGACTGAGCCAAGGCGAGGGTTTCGCCACCCTCCTGCAAATCTATTTTTTTCGCTCAAGCTCTGTTGGGAGCAAGCTCAGGTGCTTCGGATTAAGAGACTTCAGAAGCACGCTTCAAGCCTACGGGCATCTGCCTGCCCCACTATAGTGTGTAGTTACAAACATATGATAGGACAATACCCCACCCCTGCCAGAAGAACTCCCGTGTTCCTGAGCAGAAATGCTAGCATAAGCCCCGGAAACCCCAGATCCCCGTAGAAGTGTTCTAGACTGACCCTACACCAAATCAAACATGGCCCAGAATGCCTCCTTCACTGCAGGCTGTATCCTTTCCAGAAGCTGCGCAGCCTTCCAATTTGGAGCCCTCTTGAGATTATATAGCAGCATGCAGGACATACATGGAGATCTGTGTGGGGAGAACTTGGGCATAAGGATCATGTTGGGCCGCATCGCAATGATGCAGGACTCATGCAAGGACGATCCCAAGGCAATGTAGCAAAACTGGGGTCCAACCTATAGAGTGATGCAGCACACACGGAAGCTTTTGTAAAAGTTGACATGTCGTATGGTGTCTGCGATGACGCCAAGCGTCCGAAGGCGTGATTGCTACATGTCCCCTGCAAGCCTCCAAAAAAGCGAATAAAACAGGAAGCCAACCAGACAAACGCATCGTACATAAGACGGAGGCTTGCCTCCAAAAAGGAATTCTGGGCGGCAACCAGCACTGGGCGTCTTTCTGCGGACTCCTTCCAAAAAGAAGATATGTGAAAGCAGCATAACATGGGCGTATGAGATCGCATGTGCATTGCAACGTGATCATCCCACCGAGAACCATTTTGTCAGATAAAACCCATTCGCACAGCCACACCCCTTGGTTGCACTCCTGAGCCAGGACCGCTGACTGCTTGAAATCTTCGAAGGAGGGCCTGGGCTACAAATGAAGTAGGAATCACATGCACTACTCACTGAAATCAATGCTGCTCACGTTAATGGACATGGGTTCCTACTAGAGGATATAGTGTGGACTACTACTCAACTATGAGAGACCCCTATGTCCACTGTCCACCCTTGGTAAGCTTGATATATCTTGATATATGCAGTAGGACTCATATGTATGGTATCCACAGAAGGACGCCCCGGAAGAAACAAAAAACAACTTGTTCAATGTGCATCTAATTGCTTATCATCACGTGTATCCACTCACCAATTTATCGTGGAACCCTATGCGCGCCCCGAAAAAAACACATAACAAAGCCCTGCTTCGTTTAGGACACGGGTACAACACGGGCATCCGTTTTTCACAGACTTCCTTTCCTGAAGTCAGACAAGGCTGCTGCAAATGAGGCAGACGGAATTGCTCCAGGCTTCTGAACCTGCATCCCATCCCAAACAAGTTTGTCCATCAGCTAGGACACGTGAAGTAGCTAATGGCGTGGTTTCTTGCACTGTGGACCCCAGTTGCGAGGGCGAAGCTCGAGCCTCAACACAAAACGTTGGCAAAGGCCAGCTTCCACGGCAGCAGGAGGGTTCTTGCCCAAAAGTCCATGGCCTCAGGCATACGAAGCAATCAGCCCAAGCAGCACCCCGAGGTATTTCAACACGGAATGCCCTCTGGGGCTCATGCAGCAGACGGCCAAAGCTCGAAAAAGCCCACGAACCTTTGTGGCCCAAGGCCCAAGCGTTGACTGGTCAACTGGCTCAGTCATTTGAGATCTTCCGCATCGTGCCGCCTAAGAAGCGACGTATGGCGGGCTAGAGAGCTAGGAAACTTGCAAGCCCTCAGTGAATGAACTTAGGGGGACGTGAGCGCATGGAGATATGCAACTGCAGGAGGCTAAGTGCTCCCTCCAGGCTTCTGGCCAAGGTTTGCGTTGCTTCTAGCAACAGCAAGCTTGTAGGCGGATTTCTGCACAGCATAACGTCTGATTGACCCAACTTCTCTGTTGCCGTTTGTGACACACATTCTGGTCTTTGCAATCTCAGGTTCGGTCACCCAGGCATGCCATTTACTGGCCAAATTGATGAATCGATGCACTAATCTTGGTGTCTTCCTTATAACTCTGTTTCACCGTTTCCTTGTCAAGGCAACATGCAACGCGCAATCTACACAGAGGCCACTCACAAGCATCTCCTGGGCTTCAGCTTCCCAAGCGAGTCCTTGCGGCTACGGCGCATTCCAAGCATTGTAAGTCCAATTAAAATACCACAATACCAGTTGAAGAGATCATCCATCCTGCCTTCGGCCGGGCGTTGGACTTCTTCTTACTACCTGGGGAGTCATCAGGTCAAAGGAGACAGCTCAAAGGTAGCATGACATGATGGATTGTGGAGGTGCAGGAGGTTGCAAGCCCAGGCACCTCCCGCCGTTACTTCCTTTGAGTAATAGATTTCCTCAGCAAACGAGGTCCCACATGCTGGCATCTGGCTTGTGCGGAACAGATTCACGCCAACCAGAAAGGAACAAATAACGCGAATTACATTGCTACAAGTATCATCTGCTGTGGATCAGATCAGAGGCACATGGCATTAACAAAAAAAACTCTCTGCAACGGCTGCACGTTGAGGTTGTAGAGACGTAGCCCAAGCAAGTAGTCCACATACCTGTCACGTACTTAACTCTGGCAAAAGCACCGGCTGGGAGACTTGCATGTAAAGACGCGGATGCTGAGTGGCTGGCCAGTAGATCATGTGAAACTCAGCCTGGCATCACAAAAAAAGCGTTTCAGCTTTGCAGCGTTGCAGTGTGGAACGATCCTCTCACGCTTGTTTAGGCGGGCTGGAGGCAGAGACAGCCAGTCACAGTGACTCTGGGCCTACGAGGACATCCCAAGCAAGAGCGTTTTGTGGAGGCATGTGCAATCACGAAACACAAATTGCCACTACGCTCCATGTGGGAGCACCCCCCAAATTCGGTAAGGAAGTCTTGGACGGGACTGCAATTTTCCGTTGCTCAGCCTCTTCGACATCAGTCTGGAATCCAGGACACTGGATTTAGACTTGCATGAAGGTCCATGAGATGCCCTGGACGTCGCAAGCATCCTTGGGGCATGCTGACATCTATCATTGCTTTTTCAGGAGTGCTGAGGTGCGAGGAAAAAATGTCGGCTTGGGGGCTGCCAGTTCACAGGCAGCCTGTGTGTTGGTCCCAGGCTGCGTGGGACTGGATGCTGCTGGAGGCCTTGAAGCCTTGCAGGCGTCTGGTTGAAATCATGGCAGTGCCGCTCTTCCTTGCGTGCTGCAGCATTCTTGAAGCTTGTGCTACTGCAATTTCATGGGCACTGTTGTCGTAGGTGCACGTCATAAGAAGCAGGCGAATAGGCTACGAAGATATCGACAAGGTCAGAGCGTCTTACATGAGGACAGTTGCATGATTGCTGGACGCAATGAGTGAGGCAAGGGGACGGAAGGACCAATGTGCATCCTTGGCATCGCGGTTTGACTAGGCATTGCTTGGACTCACGGCATGACGTTGAACTCCCGAACTCCATGCCCTGCTGGGAAACAACCAGCATGGCGGAACCCCAGCTTCCTATCACACAATTGTCCCCGAGCCATGTGTCACAAGTCCACGGCAAAAGAAGACAAACTTGTTCTTCCCCAAAATGCTCCGGAGTCATGTCTCCACTTGTCCAGGATGTCCATATGTCCGTGAGAAAGGCAGACAGATTTGCAGAATACTTCAGAAGGAGCACGTCTCACGGCCTCTCAGCCACCAGTTCAAGTATTGTAGTCATACCCTTGTCTTTTTTGTGCCATTCTGGTAATGAATGGTATTGACCTCCCTCTCACCACTGAACTCCTACCTGCCCTTCCCTCGCCTAAAGCAGGCTTAAAGATATGATGTTGTTCTGTTCTGAGTCCCAGCTGGGGACTTTTTATATCAGAGGGGGGACGTCTCATTGGCATCCTTGTCTTTGGGTTCTCGGCTTCGTTTCTTGCATGCGTCTCCGTCTGGATTCGCCTCACTTCTCTTGACATGCTATCGGATTGCGCGGCCAAGCATCCCATATCAAGCTGTACGTTCACGATATGTCTATCTCATGTATAGGTTCAAATCAGACCACCCAGTTGCGGAAACAAAGCTGTCCCAAGCAGCAGGCTCCACCTCATCGTACAAGTCCAGCTGGAAACCCAGCAATAGCTTGGTCACCATTACCTTGCTTTCTTCAACGTGCGATGTTGGACTTAGCCCGCTTGCAGAACAACATCTCTGTGCACCAGTTTCACTACAGTGGGCCACGTTGGAAGCAGGTAGACAAAAGGAGTACCCTGACCGAAGAACATGATCATTCTTGCGACCAACTCTGCTTGCTTCGAACTAAAGCACATCAAATTCGCCCGTGCTTGACCAAGATACTTGCAAGGCGAACTCCTGTCAAGCATTCATGTGACATCATCCAGCCTCGCTACTATCAGACCGCAAACGTAGGGATCGTTGAAGCTCCTGGATCCACGCCCAGGACGGTCGATTGTACCTTCACTGATTGCAAATCGTTACAGCACGCTCTGTGGTCTGTTGTGATGTGCAACTACCACATGTGAACCGATTTAGCTGCGTTGAAATCTTCTGCGTCGTCCTATGATGCTGGGCTCCCTCAAACCTACGGAAAAGATTGTATACGCACCAGGCTAAAGCCGCATAAGACATGTTGATTCTGGCAAGAGACTGGCAGGTGCAAAGCACTATACAGGCAGGAAGTTGTGGGGAACGAGAGAGAGAGAGAGAGATAGTGCTGGGGTTCAAAGTTTCTTCATGGGCCGCTGACACGTGTGGGGCCGGTCTACGACTCCTCCACTTTCCTGTTCTCTGTCGCCTGCTTTGGCGAAAAGAGTTCCAGCGCCGCATCGACGATCTTCATCACCTCTTCGGGGAGCCGCGGATATAGCAAAGCCGCATTGGGAACCACGTCTTGGTATTGGCAACTCCGCCGCTGCTCCGCAGCAACATGCAGCAACTGCATCACGAAGAAGCTCTGGCTTTGGATACATGTCATCTTGGTGGGGCTCGCTTCATCTTGCCTTGCTGGCGGCACTCACCATTAAGCATGATCGAGCAATGTCTTGCTTATACACATTGAACGGCCTTGAACTCGAAGGTCGGCTTCGCGGTTGCACAAACTGACAGAAGTCCGGCACAGCGGGGCCAGCTGAGCGGGGCAAGGAGAAAGTTATGGTCCTAGGGTCCATGGCATTTTTCGAAGGCATCCATCGAGACTTCCCAGGCTGGGATGCCAGTGCAAGCTTGGCCGAAGAATACATCTGCTCAGCTACTCTCTCAAGTCAAACTTCAGTATACGGTGGAGGCTCCTGGACTTTGCCATGGATCTGAAGGTACAACATTCTGCTCGCCTAGCATGCTGACCGTCCGGGACCTTCAATAATGCAAACACCAACTTGCCAAGCCAACCTTCAAGTTCAAGGTGTCGGTCGACATTGCCAAGGCGCCGAACGCGAGGGCGCATGTGGGCAAGCTAGGGTCGACGGACGAAGAAGTTGCCTGGCAACTGCACCTGCAGAAAGAGCTTGCGTCGCTCCGGAGGCGGCGTCGCTCGTTCTGCCAAGTCTACCTACGGGACAAGATGCTCCTGCAGGTGCGGCTGCCAAGAAGGCTTCACCTTCGCCGGCCTTCAGTTTCGAGGTGAGAAAACCTCCGGCCTGCGGATCCTGCGGATCCTGTGGCTTGGTGGCATGAACCCGTGCAGGGCTGCACAGGCAGAGCTGCAGGGCTTCGTCTCCACGTAGCTTGGGCTTAGGGATTTTCCTAACAAACACCCCCTATATGACCCTCCCTAACACTCCTCTGTCAACTTCAAGTCGCTTTCAGCAAGCTTCATGAAGGATCGTTTAGGGGAACCTTGACTGGGGGTAGTATAGAGGAGGTGCAAGAAAATCCACAAACTTAAAGCTCTGCTCCATGGAGACTCCACTGCACGCCGCCTCCACACCAGACGCAGTGGCACGGCGTGTCTGTGACTTTGTGAGCTACGCTGCAGACCAAACTACTTGTGCATTCCAGTGCGATATAGTGCGATTGCAAAATTATCGGCCATGAAGTCCTGATGGCTACAAGTAACATCTTCTAGGTGGGCACACAATGACAATTAAGGAAGCTGTGGCTTTAAAGACTGACCTCGGCATCTGCTTTTCAGAATTCACAACAACTGACGGGCTCACCGAAGGTTCGCAGCGAAGGTCGCCTTCAAAGCTTCATCCAATCGCCAGGCCTGCGGATCAAGTGCAGACTACTCCAATCACAGGGCTTGGAGGACTTCCGCCCGGGTCCATGCAGTCTTCTCCGATGCAGGATTGATGAGCTGTCATGTAAAGTGGCTAGCAGGCATAGCAGGCATCAAGATTGAAGTGATTGAAGTGAATCCTGAACTGATTGAGCGCCTCGTGCTGTAGCTCGTTGAAGTCAGGAAACACCTGGAAAAGGGTTGGACTGCACTACTGTATGAGCATTTCAACTGCTTTGGTTTCAGAGCATGGACCGCGCTGGAGGCTCGCTGAGCACTCCACGTGGGCACTCCTTCTGAAGCGTCGCGCTTCATTTAGGTGTGCCAGCTTCAAGAGATGCAGGAACATCGACCTGCCAACAAAGCCCAAGACACATTGGCTCCAAAGCTCTAGTTTGTCTCAGCCATGCAGCACAGGCCAACGTGCTCAGCTTGAAAGACCCCAATCGGCAGGCGCACTCACAACGGGCGATGAAAGGCTCTGCTAAGCGCTTGCAGTGCTGCATCGCCTGACATGGTAGAAAGGGCTTGGCTTGGAGTCTTTCAATGTCTTTCATCCGCAGGTCGCTAGGCCATTTTTCTAGTTCGTTAGCTTACGAGGCCCACCGCCGCAATGTGGCGGCCCTCTTTTTGAACGAGATCACCGTCAACTGCAGCGGCAATGCGGGGAGAACCTGCCGCCTCTATGACTCTACGACCTTCTTTACGCGAACAAATGCGGGGCTTCCGGCGCCTATGGCAGAACATGTGAACTCACTTCTGCTTCAGGTATCTTGCGAACCTTGGGCTTATGCTCACAATGGCTCACATCCTTTCATAATATCAAGTCTCGCACCTCTGAGGGAAACAAATGGGTCTCCAAGGAGTCCAAGAGTAACCTGCAGGCAAATGTTGCAAAACAAAGTCCAGGTCAGTGGACAAAACACGTGTGGCTAAGCCTAAGCAAGCACTCACATTCACAGTCTCGCAAGACGCATGCCAGGAAGCCAGGGATGGCCAGAGGCAAAAGCAGAACACGAGCACGACTTGAACTTCATTCGACAGGTCAATCGGTGGGACATCCCGCTACGGGACTACAGAACAGCTTGATCAAAAGGTTGCTGAATGCGCACACAGCATATGGTCTGATATCTAGACAACTAGAAGCACGGATTAGCAATCCAGCAGCAAAAGGCAAAGGCTGAGTTTGGGTGCTGTCTCTGTGTTGATTTTTAAGTATGAATCAGGTTGCGGAGCGGCAAGTGGACACTTACACCAAATTTTCCTGGAACACTCCTTGGAGTATCAGGGGAGGCCTATGCCTGCTGTAGCTTCACTGACAGAGAAAGACTGTTTGAGAAGACTTAATACTCTTTATCGACCACCTCAGGTCGGAAAGCATCAGCCTCCTCACAAGGCCATCCTTTGCCACAGTCAGCTGGGCAATGGAGCGGACGAGCACGTTCGGCGACTCCTGGCTCGTTTGAAATCGACAAACTCTGAAGTGTCGCGGCAGACAGAGGCACTTCAGATCACATTGGTGTGCCTTGTGCACGACCATGCCCTGTACCAGCTGGTGCAAAGACCTGCCCGAATGGCAGTCAAGGCGATTCTGGCTGAACATGACAACACGTTTTTGCAATGGCCTGTCTAGTAGCGAGGTGCACATCAGCAGCTCTTGCACCTTAGCAGCGAGGGCAGGATGAATCCAAATGTTGCGAGCTTTCTGTCAGGCCCCGCGAAGTTCAGCCACGCGGCTTGAAACATGGACTTGCTTGCTGAACATGATTTTGGCATCAACAGAGAGCAACGAATGTAAGGATCCTGCATGGCGATTCCACATCTTGAAGATAACTTTGGGATCCTGCGCTGCTTCATTTTGTTTGGAAGTCAGCAATAATTACAAGCATGGCGGGCGGATCCTTTGTTGCCACGTATTTGCTGAGAGCCTCTTTTTTGTAGTGTGCGCTGAGGTGGGCTAACCCTCCGTGCCGTAGCCACTATCCTGTGGTTGCAAGTAACCAAAAACCTGAACCTGACATGCTTCTTCGGGGTTTGCCTCGCGGCTTTCCCTTTCTTGTTGCCATTTCTTGTTGTGGTCTCTTGCCGGAGGTCGTGTCGTGTAGCGTACACCGGTATACAAGATCAATGGCTTCCGTTGAATCCCGCTTGTGAGTCACAAAGTTGTGACTCTACCATTGCTGGCTCCTTTATCGACTCCACGGTACGAGGAGGGCCAGGGACCAGCAGCTTCCTGTCCAAAGTTCATCAGCAGATCTCAGAAAGACCGCATGCACACAAAGCACTCATGCAAGGGTTCTTTCTCTCCCATGCTAGCTGCACAGTCTTGCGGGGTGAATCTCAACACCTAGCACTAATCGGCCATCATGCAAACCCAGTTGTCAAAGAACACATCATTCTTGAAGCCTTCGTCTTGCGCCGTGCCTGTTTGTAGATGCATCAAATCGCCGAAGAACCTCCTCGTTCGGGGGCTCTGCAGTGGCCTCCAGCCTAGTGCCATGTCAGAGGATCTCTCCCAAGGGGTGAATACAATGGTAACATCAGCTCATATCAACTCACAAATCCTCACCTTCTGCGCTGCCTTTCGCAACAATTTGTGGCCAGCGAGGTTCTATCGCTGCTGCAACAGAGCTGGCAAATAGCAAAACTTCAGGACGATAGACACAACTTCTCCACCAATGCATGATGCCCGACAAATCCTGCCTCTCTAGAAGCTGCAAGCACTTGGTCAAGTGCGCCTGCTGCGACAAGCAGGCGACAAGCTATCATGGTACGACACGTGGAACGTGCACAAAGCTGGCGTCAACCCTGACAAGCAGCTTCACACACGAACAACGATGACGACAACGACAACAAAACCCACGACCACAATCATGACGGCGGCGAGAGCGGCAGCCGCAGCGACAACGGACGACGGACGACGACGAGGACGGCCGCCAATGCTTGAAAGCTCATCATTACGGCGCCTCTTCGTATTGCATTCAGCTCATGTGCCTACACGCAGCCTGATGCACTACAACTATGGCGTTGATCATGAGGCGTGGCTTGGGCCGCGAACCGTCACGGCTTTGCTTTGGCTTGGGCCTTCTGTTAGGCCAACCTGAGCAATCACACGGGAAAATACCCTCAACTGCATGCTTCTTGAGCGTTTCGTCAATGGGAACGCCTCAACCAACATCTTGTGCAATTGGCTCTGTGATGTTGTCGTGCAACATGGGGCCAATCACCTCTAAAAGCCCGTTTCGGAGACATCTGATGTTTTTGCACGGGAAACGGGAAATTTCAAGGAAGCCTCCCCTCGCAACACTGCGTGCTGAGTTCAACGCAAGAGCAAGCATGTACTTTTCGACGAACTCCATGCGGCAAGCCTTTGACGGTTCTCGGACTTGTACGGATTGTAGCCCGAAGAAGCGAAACATGCGCACAAGTCAGGTGTGGTTTCTGTTTTTCGTAAGAGAACGCAGGCTGGGATTTGGGCCACGAGATCATCTTTTTCAGCGCGCAACCTTGCCAACACAACATGAAGCCAGGGCCACTAAGATCTTCAGCTGTCTAACCGTGCAATGGCTTGAAGTAGATTACACTGTTGCTCGCCTGAGTTGCGCTAACCACACGCACACAACACGTAGACAGCTTTGAAGCCTTTGGCAGTCGCTTCGCGCGCGGGTAGAGACCTTGCAGACAAATTGGAAGTAATTGCAAGGCTAATGTAGAAGGCGTTCTATGAGGTTGTTAAGAGTTGCAGTGATGTGGCTCCGAGCTTCACCAAATGCAGCAGAAGTTGAAAGTGTAAACAACATGTAAGTCTGATAGGGCTTTGTCATCGGCTAATGTGCACGGCGCCTTCTGAGGGTCGCTGCTGAAGACGCAGGCCTCCCCGCAATCAACCACTCACACGTGTGTGGTTCGGGGCTGCTTGTAGTCCATCGCTTCTTGACGATTCTACTGTATTGTGAGGTCACCTGCTGATTGGACAGATTGAACACTAGGATCCATCTTCACGTGCTGCAATTTTCCCAGTACATGGTCATGGAACTTTCACAGATTGCGGAGGAAGGCCGCTTTACCGGGCTGTACTTGGCCTGAAACGTAATTCAGCGTGGATGGGTCAATGACGACGTACAGGTCGCGTCAAATTGCGTTGCTGCAAAGGTTACGGCAGCTAGTACTTCTGCATACAGCCTGTCGCATCTACAGGCAACAGCAGTCAGCCTGCTCTGGACTAGTGTAAGCACACGACTTATGATATAAGTCACCATGATGAGGCAATGAGTGAACTGATGATGAAGCAGCAGTCACACAGCTGGGGTTGAAACAACATCGTTATTAGCAACAAGACCAGCAATGTCGCCTACTGCCATACTGCCCTCCTCCATTCAAGCCTGTTTAAACCCCTTTAGCAGCCTGAAGGTCAACTCCAAACATTGTCGGGACGAAGTCCTCGCAGGTGTTGCGGATAGCATGTTTTGCGGCACATTCTGCCAAATCTGCGCCAGCACCACTTGCTAGTTACGCAGCATGCAGTCATGGCCTCGTCATCGAAGACCCCAGCGGAAGTCACCGCATCGTACGCATGTTGGCATGCTATAAGAAATGCCTCAGGTCAGGCTCAATTGCAGAATTGCAAATGCACTTGCTCAGCAGCCCACCTTCTAAGTCTAAGCACCTGACATCAACAAACGATGCAAGCTCAGGCAATGGAGCTAGGAGCCGCTTTGGGTCCTGATGAGTCACAGATTACTGCACACAGGCAAAGCAGAATACCGATCCAGTCTGTTGCGCCACGGGCTAAGAGGTTCACACATGCCCTTCACTATGCAGCATGTTACCTCGAATTGCAGCTAGAAAGCTTGCTGGGGCATATGATCCACTCCACATGCAAGATCGATGCGAGGAATATCAAAGCAATGCTAGCATGGAGAGAGGCACGCAAGAGGGGCTGACGGGACTAAAATCAGTGTTCTATTTGTTCAGCTAGTGACTGGCTCTTCTGCGGCACTACGAAGAGCACTCTACATCAAGAGTACAACGCAAGCCGTCCTGCAAGTACAGGCATGAGAAGCACGTCTGAATGATTGTGTGCCCATCCAGCCAGAGCAAGTAGTACCTCCACGATGCATTCATACAACCACACACTTCTCCTCCAGGATACAGCTGAGCAGGGGGTTTTTGTCCAAAGGGCTAAGGGCACAGCTAGCAAAGGAAGGATAGCTGACGAGAGTGCAGACAAGCGTGTCCTTGGATGGCTTTGGCTGACTGGCCATCTCCAAGACTTTTGTCAAAAAGTATATCTCCCAAACGTTAGCGGCTTGAAAGCACACATTTCAGTACAGCATACGGTGTCTGGCAGCAAGAAGCGCACATGAGCAAGTGGTCCATGACACCTGCGAGCACCTGAATGCAAAGCAGGCCTTAGGATCACATGACTGCAACTATAGTAATGCGGATGCATGCATGCCCTTCAGCTTCAGAGAAGGGTGCTGCCTTGTCCTCCACTGCCGTCCCAATGAGACCGGAGGTTTGAGCCTTCTCGAGCGTCATGTCCTCGCCAGGGCACTTCATTGAAGTGCAAGCTCGCATCTGCGTCTTAGATATGGCCCTGGCTGCACCATGCATAAAAGTCTTGACTCATGCCCAGCAGGCTGTAGAAATCGCGGCTCAGCAGGCCCTCCTCGTTGCTGCGAAACCCAGTGTCCATCTTTGGATCCATGATTTCCTGGCGAGTGCCTACACTTTTACATGTAATCTTGTCTTGTCACTCTGCAGCACCTTCATGAAGTCTGACATGTAGCAAACACCCACACTCTCTGCCAGCAAAGATGCGGTGTCTGCAACATGTACGCCACACAAAGCTAGGTGTTAAGTACTTGCTACAGTACAGCCAGTGATCCAAATTGGAGTCTCTGCAGAAGCAGGACAGCATGACAATGGCAGACATTGCGTCGTACAGGCGGAAGGTCGAGCTCTCCTGAGTACACTGCCGATGGCATGCGCAGCAAACATGTGGTCCAGCAATCTCGAAGGGCTGGCTGAAAAAGCCCGACACTCAATCTTCAATTCCACTCCAACTTCAGATGGATAAGAAAATCTCCTTCGAGCACCTATTACACTCTGACACCGCTATGCAGGTAGAGCAGCCTCAAGTTGTGTGGGTCTTGGGCAGTGCCAGATCCTCACTATGCCATTCTATCTGACCCGACCAGGTTTTCTGTGCAGAAGACCCATCAAGTAGCACTAAACCGCACAGTCCAAGTGACCACCATCTCGCCCACACTCATGCCGCTGACCTCCGTGCAAAATCAGGCATCACATCCGAAATGTGCCCCCTGCCCCAGCTGAAGCAGCCAAAAAAACCTTCAACACCTCCAAGAAAAAAAATCAAGGGCCCCACGGCGAGGTCACACAGTCCAGTGATGTCAACCCATTCCTCCGGGCAACAGGGGCGCTTGTGCATCTTGCATCCCCCCCGTCAGTTGTGCAAGACACAGAGATTGCTCCATCTGCCTCATTCTTCCCTGGAAGGCAATCTCCCACTGGCATAGCCTTGGACGAACGCATCCGAACGGAACTCTAGACACACTGACCAGAAACCGCAATAAACACCCGTCTTCAAATTGAACAGGCCACACCACAGTAAATAGATGCTTATCACAAACATGACGAGTACAGGTCCCAAATATGTAACATGTAGGGTGCTTAGCAGTGGCAAGCCTCCCGGCCTCCGGAGCAGGCCAGTAGAGTCCGTTACTTGCATTTGCCGCGCTCTCCTCAACGGCTCCGTCATCGTCCTCCAGCAAAAGAGCATCTCTATCCCACGGAGCACCTATCCTTTTCGGGCGATGATCTGTGCCATGTGTCATCTCAACAATTTGACGAAATCGCTTTGCGGACGTTGTTCCTAGCAAGCTGGATCAGCACGTGGAAATGGCGGGAATGCCGTCTACAGTGCCAGCTGATAAGTTGCTCTGAGCTGGAAAGATCCTTTAGATGACTAGACTACCTCGCCTACGCTCAGCCGATACGACCCACATAACTCGACTTAATGTATGACTTAACATGACGGCCAAAGTGGCTGAAGATCTGATGTTGGATACACTCCCTTTCACCGCTTCGCCATACTGCTTGCGAGTCCTGAGGCTTGTTCTTCTTCTTTTTCTTCTTTCGGGGCTTCCTGCTGAGACCGGAAAACCAGGATGCAGAAAATGTTGACACCAGCTTGGTAAGTGCTACCACCCGGAAGCAAAAGCTCTTGTGCTGCATGCAAAGGCCGCTGGATCATGTGACGAAAACGTCATTTGCTAAGCGAATCTAATTACCAAGCATTGGAATTCAATATTCCGAAACCACTGGGATCACGGACTTCTTCTGCTTTGCATCACCTGATCTTTTCAAAGGCAGATGGCTATGCATGCATGATTGCGACTGGCCTGACAGTCTCGCTTTCCGGCTGCACTGTCTCACCGTTTATCAATCTCAGTGCTGTACCAGTGCCATCGTCATGCAGTAAGTTGTCCTGAGAAGCGCTATGTCACCGTGGACTTGAACACACGTTTGTTGCAATGCCGGCCGCCTATGTGCGCATGGTCAGCATGGCATACTGTGAGCAATTACTGCTGCTTACACAGTTGACTGAAGATGTTCTGAAGTACTGGATTCCAGTATTGCAAAGCTGTAGGCAACAGTCTCGCTCTGCAGCACGATGCTTCCAGCCTCGTCCTCGTCCTCGTCCTCATCCTTGGGCATGGCATCTTTTGACCTTCAGGCATGCGAAAGAACCAACCTGTGGAGGCTTCCTGGAGCCCGGAGCTCTGCCCCACTTGCATCTACGCCCTCTCCACTTAGCTTCGTGCTGCTTCGCGGTCTGGGTCTCGCTCATCAAGCACGTGCCACTTGCCAGAGAGAAGTTTCACATGTAACCTATATATGGGCTGCTTTGTATTGTTTGGTCCGGGTCTCTGTGTATGTTGCCTATGTCTGTACTGGGCAGGCTGTGGTGGGAAGCATAATAACTTCATCTGCAAGATGCCATCAAGCATCCACTGAGGAACCTCTTGTTGCAGTTGAGACAGCTAGCACGGTAACAAGGCCGGCTGCTCTGGAATGCGTCTCTGCACGCGTCTGCGCAAGCATCCAACAAAATATTTCCGAAGTGTGCACACATGACTTTACAGCAGCGTCTTTTTTTTGCCATCGTGGCATCCGGTTTGTTGCTCCTGTGCTTCAATCTAGGACTGACTCTTCTTGGCATACAGGTGCTTGCCAATGGCCAGGAATTATTTCCAAGCTGCAGAAACGACGAATGTTCAACGCGTTTGCGTGAATCACTTCGGGAGACAAACTAGGAGCAGTTGCAGAACAAGCTGCCCCTCTTTTGCCTGTGCACGCTTACAACTTACAACTCTAGGATACCCTCAGCTGAAGGGGGTACTGCCCCAGCGCAGGCCCCAAAGGTGTCTGGAATACTCGATCCCCAGATTTTTCCTCACATATGCGTTTGCAATCTAGACTTCAGAGTTTACAAATGAGACCCCGTGCTGTGCCCATTAACCTGGCATGCTTACACCACCTTCAATACTTGACATCCAAGCGCAAAAATCAACATGACGTTAAAATCCGCAGACAACGGGGAGGAGGGGCGGCCTTTGTGCATTGAAATCAGGCCCGGCAATGCCTACTCAGATGTTGTGTGGCGAGTACATGTCTGAAGATGATTCTAAAGAGAAGATGATGGTGAGTCTAGCTTGTACGGAATGGGGTGTGGATTGACCCTTCACTTGCATGTCAGACCCTAGGACTGCCTGCAGTGAGGCGCGAAGTCAGAAGTCCCGGCTGAGGGGATACTGTATGCCTATCTTCCTGGTAGATTCTGCGAACAATAGGAATTAGAGTTTGAGGGCTTGCCAATGCAGCAAGACAGCGACAAGACGCCATCGTCACCCCAAGTAGCCGCTTGACTGGGATGGCGGGCCCAAAGGACCTTTCTCACACCTCAGTCGCTACGAGCTGTTCGACTGCCATTGATGTCTGACACAGTTGGCAAATTTTGGCCATCTGCAACAAGATCAAGAAGAAAAGGCGTGCATCATCAAGCTGAATAGAATGCCATGACGCCACGGCTTCGTACGTCTCAGGCAGCATGATCTCTGGGCTGACGTAAGCAGGCGGGAACGACCGGGTGCCAAGCTTTGACAGGTCCAAGGTGATCTGCTCTGGCAGAGGGACAGTTTCAACCTTGGACTAAATTGCAGAAAGCGATACCTACTTCGCTTCAAAGTACCATCTTAATCTCACGTGCCATTCAGCCTGCTTCCTCTTTTGCACCTGTCTGCTCCCCTTCCCGAGGGCGCCTGTTTTGAGAAATCCGTTGGTGGAGGAGGTTCGTCGAGGCCTCGGCAGCTTTCTCTACAAATCTGACATGATAATCTGGAGGTTGACAGGCCTGCAGCTGTTTTAGAACAATTCTGTGCGGGTGGTCTGCACTTGGTGTAAATGTACCCTTGATTTGATGCATGCGGCGCTTTCAAACAGATTGAAGACATTCAGTACTTTGCGAAGCATGAAGGCTTTGTCCATCTGAACATGACTATCGCTAACCATCACGCCTGCATGTGCACTATTCTCTTGTCAGCAAGATTGCTGGATGCCTTCGAAGCTGGCCGCTGCAGCAACATCAAGGCCAGTCCTAACTTCGTGGATCACTAGCACCTGGCAAGCAGCTCAGATGTGCATCGAGCATCAGCCCACGATATGTCTCATACCTCAAACATGTACTGTATCCACGATGATTGTGAGCTCGGGCAGCGGCCGGCCAGGTCCAACAAGTCGTTGCCTCCAAGATGAGCAAACCGCAAATTAGATCAACCAGCTCAACCAGCTCAATGGGGATGGCACAGGCAAGCGACAGGAAAACTACATGTACGGAGCTCAGTGGAGCTCAATATCCTCCAGTGCCTCCACCCTTCCCCGCAGGAGCGGATGCTGCGAGGTCCTCAAAAATTTGCAGGTTCGTGTTGCTGGGTATCCCAAATGCCACCGACTTCCAATCTGAGAGCCGGTCCAGATCTAGAAGGTCTGAAGCACCTGCAGAACCTCCTCGGCTAGAGGCCTGCGTCTTAGCAAGGCTTTGGCACCTTGCTTGCATGTTGCCTAGATTCCTAGATGTAAAATGATGCAAGCAGGGGAGGCCTTGGCCTCCTCAGAGTTGTTGAAATCTAGCAGATCCTCAGACGGCAAATACAACCTATTTGGATTTGCTCAGATCAAGCAGCTGCCACAAGTCAATCATTCCTTACCAAAATTGCTTGGGGGGCATAGGGTGCCAAGTTTAGGAAGGTGGGCACAGGAGGTGCACAACATGATTGCAGCCTACTTCTCAAGATGATCATGATCCTGCGCATGCTGACCTTCCCAATTTGCCCGGTCCAAAAGGCTGCGGAGTTGCCCAATTCAGGGGAAACGGTCCGTGAACAGTTCTGTCTTTTGTGTGCTCATTCTTCGCTTTGCTTTGAAGCTGGTGTTGACCCTGGATGATGTTTCTGGTACCTGTTCTTACTAAAGCTGTCCAAGGCACCGAGCCCCTCTCAGCATGTCAAGAACTGTTTGCACTTTCACCAGGTGCTGAGAATGCCGCCATAGCTTGTGGTGCTGGCTTTGGTGGCCTGCAGCGCGTGTGCCATGACATCACTCAACACCAGACTAGCATGCATGGTCAACATGCCGGCTGCACTCTTTCTTTGGCGTCGACGGTTTGGGCTCTTCGGTCCTTTCATTCCTCACCGAGTGTGATTCTTGGACTGGAAAGCTTGTGCGTATTATTCTTGGCTATTGCCTGGGATCAGAAAGGGCATCAATGACAAAATCCTCTGGCAGCAACCCAACGGAGCTGGGTTGCATTGTGCCTCCAAATCCCCCCTACAAGCTTCAAGCTTGGAGTAGTCCTGTTTGCCCAAGACATGATTAGCCACAGGAAGTGCGAACAGGATAATCTAGTAGCAACATGTACACACATCTTCTTGCATAAGCCACACACTGCACTATTCTTTCAACTCTCTACAGGTATTGGGTGTCCTGTGGCCCTCCTCCTTGGCCTTTCGCTCCTCCTGCATGTGCCGGTCAGCTGTACATCTGTAAGTCAGACTTGGAATCATCTCACAGACAAATGGAGGGGGAGTGTAGTAGTGCAGGCAGCTTTGCTTAAATCGCGGAAGTAGCGGTCAGTACCAATTGCATGGACCAACTCCTCCTCTTTTTGCCGCTTGGCCTGAGTCTGCCACACAGACTGATCCCGTCTATCACAGAGACGACATCGGAACCTACGAGCACTTGCATTTTGATCTGGCCAAGCACTCGGGGAAATTCAGTCGTGCATCCTGATAAGTGCGCCGTTGGCTAGTCTATGAGAGAAGCGAACCCTCCTAAGGGGCATGGGAATCCACCGAATGAGAAAGTTGCAGCACCTCAACAATCACTTTCAGCCCTTTGAATGCTGGGTGCCAAGCCTGTTGCGCCTTTCGTCTTTCCTTGAGCCTTGGCCGACATGGCCATATGGAGGCTCGAGCAGATAGGAGTTCGGTCTCTGAGAATAAAGTTGGCAGTCTCCAATGCGGCTTGTGAGGACAAGATTTTAAGCCTGTGCCATGATTTGGGTCCCCGACCTCTGGACTCGTCGAACAGTAGTTGGCATTCGAACTTGCTCTTCCGGCTCTTCCTGGACAAGGATCCGACTTTGGCTGCGGCCCCGAATGTTTTGCAGGATGCAAGGCTGACAGGTCTGTTTAGTGAACACTCCCTCTGCTCTTAATTTTCTAGCTCGCAACTCTGATTCAGAAGTCATCTTTTTGAGCGCAGCCTCAGGGATCACAGGCTGATGACACAGCCCAAAAGGTCAGTCTTGGTTGGATCTCATTGGCTGAGCTGCCTTTTGCAAGGCAACGCCTCCGGCCTGGGCCGCTGCAATTTTGTGGTTGGCATTGGAAGGGCAGCAAAGGGACCAACCGTCGGGAGCTTCTTCCTTGCCCTCAGGGACCTTTGCATCCAACTGGCGCAGCTCCTTCACCTCCTCAGCCTCGTCTAAGATATGAATTTGACCGACCCGCACAGGCAGGAAGATATTTCCAGAAATTCGGAGCCACTGGCCATCAGCATCAAGCTGACCAAACACAACCGTCCCGTTTTCTGCATACCGGGAGTAGCGCTCCTCCAAATCTTTGGACCGCCTGTACTGAACTCCAGGATATGGCTTCGGCACGCTGACCTTGAACTCCGAGACAAGCAGGTTGACATGCAAATTGGCAATCTTTTGCGAGAGACTAGCGGGAAGCTCTTTCAGTTTCAGCTGACTTTGCAGCGCATGCCAGGAATCCTCATCCGCGAAAAAAGCCTCCAGATTCCTGGTGACCTCATCATCCATCTCCACCACGGATGTCTCCTGCACATGCCGACAAGGGCACGACAACAAGGATAGCGACAACAAAGACAGCGCGGCTGTAAGTAGAAATAACTGAGAAAGAGGCAGAGGAGGAGCAGGAACAAAACAAGCGGTAGTAGAGGCATTGGCAGCAGCAGCACAAGCAGCGCCAGCGGGGGGGGTGGTGGCGGCAGCAGCAGTAGCGAGGATGATGCTACTGCCATCTAATCACTGCGCATGGACTCTACTACATGAAGTCATGCTAATGGTTGTCTTTGTTGTTGTTCTTCTTCTTGTTCTTGTTGTTGCTGCTGTTGCTGCTGTCGTCGTCGTCCAAGCACCCATCGACTCTTGCACTGCAAAGGCTCTTCAAAGCCAGTGTCCTGCACAGTTGGCATTTCGGAGTGAGCTGCGGGTGCCTGCACGTTGCGGCGGCGCGGCCGAGAGCCCCCGGATGCTCTTGAATCACCTGGGAGACAAAGAGTGCAAGCGCAGAATCTGTATGATGAAACTTCTTGGGCATTGGGCATTCATACCTGCCCCCTGAGGACATTTATGTTCAATCCGCCATAGCTGGTCTGACATCACTTTGCCAGTGTCCAGTTGAACGATTTGATTTGATCTACATGTCTCTGCAAAGCTTGGCCAAAGAGTCCATCTCAGAAAAACTAGCCTACAGACCCCAGCCTGTGGATTCCATGGTCACCTTCTTGTCCTTCTTCTTTTTCTGAGACATTTCGTCCAAGAAAAGGTTCTTGTCGCTGAGCTCGTGACTCTGCTTGAGAACCTCACTGGCAGCAGCAGCGGCAGCGGCCGCACGGGGCAGCGCGGGAAATTCTTCGGGTGGTTGTACTGCAGTTTGTCTGCTAGGTGAATTCTGCGGCGGAGATTCTGGGACAACCTCCGGACTCCGTTTAGCTGTTCTGATGTCCTGTCTGCCGTCATCATTCGCTGCGCTCTCCGTACCAGGAAATGTGTCCTGTTGACCATCAGCCACTGCCTCTGGATCCTTGGACAGATGCTCTTTGCCTTTCGTTGCACCAGTCTCCGGCCCTTGACCAGGCATAGACGTCTGAAACGCAGAGGCATCAACTTCGTCTGGCAGTGGTGGGAGAGCTGCTGCTGGCCACTTCAATCTTTCTCTGGGGAGCCAGCCACTGAATTCAGCGAATCTGTAATTGGAGAGAAAGACATCCCCAAATTCAGGCTCCATGATCTAAGAACAAGGACTGCCACCGCCATCGGCCATAGCTGAATTCTGCAATAAGGAATTACCGGTACCAAGAGTAGTTTACCGCCGGATAATGAAGCAAATAAGCACCTGTTAATCTACTGCTCATTGTTCTCTCACAGAATCTGGTGACACTGCACTTGAGCCGAGTGAGTCCGAACCATAAAATGCTGCTTCAGAACTGTTGTAAGCTGAGAGTCTTGACATTCTATCTCGTCCTGGGTTTGGGCATCCCTACTTCAAAATTGTTTTGCGAAACAGCCTCGTGGTGCTCTCCACCTCCGATGAGAAAGTCTAGCGCGGCCTTCACAAGCAGTGAGGAGTCTGCACATATGCTGGCTTGCGGGCTGCAGGAGATCATCATGTTGTTGATAGCAAAACTCTTCAAGGCGAGCTCGTTAAACCGAAAACGGCACGGAGCCTGGGTGTCATTCTTGAACTTCCTCAAGGCCTGTCTCGCAGGCCCTGCAGCGCACGTGCAAGATCCAAATGCGAAGACCATGCAAGAAAGGAGGACTGAGCTGATCTAAAAGCGACTTGACTGGTCGCAGCAGCCGCCGCAGCTGGTTGACAATGTTGACGCCACCCCTTGAGTAAAGTGTAAGGCAGAGCACAATTGTGGATTGATGCCTTCTTCGAATCCTTGCGAGAGGAGCGATGACAAGCTCAATGGATCGACAGGAACCGAAGGCCCGTCCTTGGCAAAGCATGCCTTGCCTTTGTTTGGAATTGAAGCTTGATGACTGAGTACTAGCTCTACTTTTCCTGGCGTAGCAGGAGCTCATACTATCATTTGCTACCCTACACCTACACAATTGCTTCTGGTTCCTCCAAAGCAGCGCGCAACGCAACAGATGCTGTGGACTCGGCATCTGCACAGGAGTCCAAGCCCTCGCCGGGTTTGTTCTTGTTATCCTGTCCATGCCGGCAAGCTTATCTTCAGGAAGCTTGCTCCATCAGCAAGGAGCATGTGCCGGAGTTGAGAACATTTTCGCTGCGTGCAACACAAGCGTGCAAGCATGAACCCTACCAGTTTCAGCATTCCTCGCGACATTGAGCCGCTAGAGATTCCGAGGCAATTTGAGGACCTAACTGGTTCATAACTTAGATTTGCAACTTAGATCTCAAAGGGATCCTTGGCGAGCTTCTCAATCAAACGCGCGGAGAAATCTGTCACGACATCTTCCTGCAGCACAAATGTTGAGTCGAAGGCTTGTCCATGCGAATGCCTTGGCTGCAAGTCTTCTGTTAATGTGAGGACTGAGAGAAGAAGACCTTGTCATGTCGTTGAGCAGACGAATTTAACGAAGTCTTCAAGCATGCTTCAAAGGAGTGCCGTGTACCCTGCATCTTTTGTAAGCGTGGCAATATCCGACCTCAGGATTCTCTTCAGCCTCTTGAATTGCCATCTCTACCTGGCAGACGCTCTGTTCAACACCCGGGCCTTGAATACACAAGACAGAAAGCGCCACGGGCCTGAGCTTCTAAGTGCTCTGGGGTCATCTCGACCTGGATAATGTCACAAGAAGTTATAAATTACAACCTTGACATAGCGGTTACACGTTTGAAGCTATCCACTGCAAGAGGACAAGGCCATGGGTCGGAACTCCATTCGTGCAGGCAGCACACCTGCACCGGTCTTGTGGCTTCAAGGCGTGGTGGAAGGTGGGTCACTTGTGACTTCTCTCGGGGGTCACTTGTGACTTCTCGCGAGGTGGGTCACTTATGTGGCTTACAGGATACAAGACTGCTGAAAGCCGGCCTGAGATGGAATGAGCCGACGTTGCGAAAAACTCATACTGCAAGTACCTGGCATAGATCGGACTCTGACATGTAAATGTAGGTGAGGGTTAGGATGCCATACCTGTAAGCGTGTGTGGATGATTCTGGACGCATGCCCTTGCCCTTTCACGAACTGTCGCACATAAAAAACATCCAGGTTGGTTTTCACTATTATGGAGCATCATGTAGCAATGTCGGGATCCATCGCGCACTTCAAGGTTTGCAGGCAGGAGTCCAAGATGTCTCCCTGATCAGCTTGAAGGATAGCAGAGCTCTGAACATTTCGCAGGCTGCTTAGCGCCTTGTACTCCTCTAGAATGTATAGCCACTCAAAGATGTGCTTGTCCACCTGTGGACACCAGGAGGTACGTGCGCGGATGCTGGTCGAAGTGCAGCTTCGTCCGCAGCTGCCTCTCCTCTGTCATCCACCGCTTCTGAAACCTCCCTCTGTGGATGCCTCATGGAAGGCCAACTTGGCGGACTCAAGCTGCGACCTGAACGGGCGTCCCAAGTCTCTCCACAATCGCTGTCATTGAGCCGACTAGACAACTCACACTTCACGCGCTGAGAGCCACTGCTGCGCTGCCAGGTATCGACGGTCTGTTTGATGCAGATTCCTAGGCCAGAAGCTAGAAGGTTCGCGCAGTCAGGCTTGGTACAAGCATTCTTCCGATAACAAGCACCATTTTTGTTTGTATCGTGCCTACTTGTTAAAAGGACCATTCGAGCATAGGGTTTTGCAAGTAAGCTGCCGACGGTTCAACTTGCCAGCACCCATAGCTTACCACGAAACTCTCGGTTCGCGGCTTCTTTACGCAGTCATCCATCCTTGGGTGGCAGACCGAGCGTGCGAGAAAAGAACGAAAAAGGCAGGTCGGCTTATGCTGGCAAAATCACAGACGTGCAGCGTAAGGTGTTACAGTAACAGACGTGTTGCCACTTGCGTCAGACGTTAATGCCAACCAGATGCTCTCGCTTAGCGATGTTGAACTCCAACAGTCGGCGCCTCACACGATCCCAAAACAGGGTACAAGCATGCCAGCGACAGCCAGCAAGACCAAGAATGGGCAGAACACGGGATGTTCAATTGATTCGTGGTTCATACTGTAGCAACGAATACAATTAATGACCACAGACTTCACATACCACCAACATCTGGCGTGCCTGCGCTTGTCCAAGTACGTCTTCATGTTCCTGTTGTTCACGACCTTGTGGAGGCGTAAATGGCAGAAGCAAAAAATGGCCAATTTGCAGGCGACCTTTCAAGGTGCTGGGTGCCCTGCATGACATCTCAGGGGATTCATGATGTTGAAGTCCTGAATCAACGTCAAGACGTTCAACACATTACACAAGGTGCGCACAGGATTCAAGCACTCCACCTACCACATGCGAAGTCTGCAAGGGCCGTTACACGTATTCTCCGAAATAAGAGAGCAACTCACCAACGTGCAACCACTGTCCATGTCTCTCCGAAGCTTGGCAAGGGCGCTATGAGGAGCGTCCGCACGCGTAATAGCATTTGTGGCCTGAATGAAGCTTTTCAGGTGCGAATGTTTGCAATAGACGGGGGTGGTGACGGCTTACTGTTTAGAAGCAACTCTGCGAGCATGAAAGAGGGTTGTTGTTGAGGCAAAATGGATCGCGATCACATGAAGTCCGACTACCACTTCATGAAGAAATTGGCAGAGTTCTACTGCTTACACATTGCACTTCAACGCGCCTCCTTCATCTTGCAGCAGTCGGCTTTGATGAGCGGGTCATCCACAGAGGACAAGCCTTTCTCCAATATTCTGCAATGATTGAACAAGCCAATTTCATCGCTATGGCCAAGACCCACAAAACAATGACACAATGTGGGACCAGGCTGGATCAATCGCAGGAAGGCATGCGCCGAGCCGTTGATGAATGCTTGTTCAAGTTCCAGCTCTGTTACCCTTCACGTGTTGATTCCCTCCAGCTGCTGCTCATCGCCTTGAGTAATGTCACATGCATTCTATACCTAGTTTGCTTTTCCATATTACCCATGGCTTGAATTTAAAGTCTCTCTCTCTGAACAACAACACCATGTGCCTAGGGAATTCCATACGCACTGAAAGCTGTGACAAACCCTGTTCATCTACCTTATATCTATTCTGGTCGACCCCCGCTCAGGTGTAGCCAATGTTGCTCCCCCCCTCCTGAGACAAACTGGAATGGGGAACCGGGCCTGTAGTGACGCTCTCTGCCAGGACCACGAGGCCTTCGGCCAGGTTGTCGATGCCTTCGTCCAAGAGAGAATAATTTAGCAGCAGCTCCCTCATACCTTATGATCATTGACACTCAATGGGGTCTTCTCTTCTGGCAAACAGTGATCTGCCATGGATATGACAAATGGCAAGGATGCTTCGTTCAGACAGAAGCGTGCTTATGCTACGCTGTTGTACTGACAGCGTGGATGTCATGGGTTCCTGTGGGTGTAGCATCTTCTTTTTCCCTGGCTTCTCTGCAAGAACACATATTCGAATTTCAGCATACAAGTCGAGGTGTGGCCTGCATATTGCTTCCAGATTTAGACCGCAGCAAAGAAGACTCCATTCATGAGCCGTGCCTTTCATGAAGGTCTCGACCTTCTTGAAGATGTCCTGTGTGCCACAGGAATTGGTTTGCAAAACTTCAGCTGCAGGATTCCAGACATGCAACCCCGCTCAAAAATGAGGTCTTGGGTTCAGAGCAGTTCAAAGTATGCCTGTTGACAAGTAGAACGGGGTTCCAGACAATTAGGCCCGCCTACGTTCAAGTACGTTCAGCTAATCCGACAGGTCTCAAAGAGCTAATGGGCGTGTCTGAGGACCTAGTGGCCCAAACTTAGAACATCCATTGTCGACAAATGCCTCAGCTACTGCTAGGTTGCCAGCCCAAAGATGCCGCAAAGCAAAGTTTCTGCTCGCTTGCAAACGACAAGGCCTAGAGTGCCAAAAGTCAGTGTCTGTGGAATCCGGGAGCATATGCGCGAGATGGGTCCATGCAGCAGCATTACAAATCATGCGAAGCTGCTCTGGCAACGCCGGAGAAAAAAAAACAAAGCCTGCAGGGTCATGTCGAAGGAGATGAAATCCTGCCAGCCAACAGGCATCAACAAACCTACTGCAGGTTGCCCGGCATGGACGTCCCATTGACTGGTTGTTTGTTTATCTTGTGGCGCTGAGCCTGGCTCGTGAAGCATATCATAGCATATCTGCGATCATGTCCTGTCCTTGACAATTCCTTCGAAGACGGGGTCCACAGGCTCCCCGGCGAAAAACCGCTCCTTCTAGAATGACGGTGGAATTTTGCGTTACGGCTCCCTATCTATGATGGGGTGTACCATAACTGCTCTTCAATAGGTATGACAACGCCAATCTCACAGGGTAAAGACTGACTGTGACTTCAGGCATCAACTTTCTCGCATCCCTTCGACTCTCATAGTGTCGTACTGGCAGCCTTCATGACTTTCCACTCCATGTTCATCGCCGTCAGCTGATCCTCACTTGAAACAGGCATCGTTGTCCAGGACCGTGTGACATCGATTTTCTGCAAGATATCTGAGGATCTGTCCCCATCCATGGCTGCCAAATGTGTCGCAGCGCCTGACGCGAGATGCTGTCAGTTTGGCGACAGGTCCTAGGTTGCGTTACACCCAGGACAGAAGTAAGCTTGATGAATCTTGATGATGAAAAAAGAGTCCGGGATTCTCCCAAGACAAGTCTTCCTCTCATGTTCCTTTCATTCATACTTGCCTAAAGGGTTTTGCCCGCGGCCTACAAGCCCCCCACTCATGCTCCAATGGTAATGGCATGAGCCCGTCAGGAACTTAGTCCTCAAAACCGGTCACGCTGACAGAGATGTTGTAGGAGTCTGAAGAAGTTTAAACCTTCAGTGAAACAAGCTGTCGAATCCAGTTGATGTCACCCAAAGAGGGAGCCTGTCGCGTACAAGCAGCTCGAGGCACTGAAGGCAACAATGGCAACTCCAACTGCAGGGGTTGCTTCAAGCGACGGCAGGGTTGGTTGACTGTTGGATTCGGAGGGCTGGGTTGTTGCTCATCAATTCCTGTACATGCTGCGCGGATAAGGTGGACCGGTTGTGATATCTGATTATTGTCTTGCATTTGAAATTTGTCTCAGCAACATGCCTACACGCCTCGTATGGTTGGAAGCGGTGTTGCAGAAGATTGATGGGAGTGTGATCATGCTGCTGTGCTGAGTGGTGGTGTGCCTGCCGCGACAAAAGCGGCTAGCAGCCGGTGCTGCAGTGAGGCTGGCTCTGAAAGCACGCATGCAGAGTGCCGAGTGCGAAATGATCTTCGGACACTCAGATGACCGGCACGGTCTCACGTGCTGTGAGTATGGCTTGGCGGCTTGGCGGGCTTCAACTTTTTCCGCGATGCACTGGGAACCAGCTCCACAACGCAGCAGATCGCTGCTTTGGAACCTCAAGTCCCAGGCTGTCAAGGCCAGACTCGCACAGCCTATGCTGTGCAAAGATCTTGCTAAAGCAAAGGCTGCTGAGCCATGCACCTTTGATGCGATATGAGAGGGCCGCAAGAACATCCTGACTTCAAAGAGAGGCCAAGGGCCAAGAAGCCCGGAAAAGAATTGCATCCTCCTTATATGAAAATACTCACAAGTGAATGTCTGCATGGGAGTCCTCCGATGCCCAAAGCAACTGCAGTGTCACCATATTCTCGGGTTTTTAAAGCCTTGTCCTGGGTGGATAGCATTCGGAGATCCGGCATCTCAGCCAAAGCAAACTCCTCAGCATGCTCGGACTTATGCACAGGCCCACAGGAGTGCCTCAGCTCTGGGAGCAGAGCCTGGACTCTTAACTTTTCAGAGGCTTGCATCATATCTGAGTAGACTATCTTTGACCAACAGCCTCTTCAAGGATGGGTAAAGCTACAAGGCTGCTTTGATCTTATACAATCTTGGCGCCGAGATGCATTGTTCACAGAGGCTGCCACCACCTCTGCAAACTTTGCATTCTGCGAAGGAGCAAGTTAAGTCTCCCATGACTAATGCACAGCCTCAGCGTGCAAGCTCTGTCGCAGCACGTGCATCTTCTCGCCCCAAATGCCCTTAGAGTTTGTCAGCAGCGAAGTCTTTGAGAGGTCCCGATGGAAAAGCTTTACCACTGTATAGATGCAGCAATGCAACAGGCAAACATCACTTTGTTGGCAGTTATCGACATGACCGACAAAAACCGAAATGTGAAGAAGATGCAGTCTACTGTCCGAAACGTGCTAGGCTGGCCGACCCCGGCCTCCCAGCTACAAATTGTCATTAGCATGTTTTGAGGTGTGGTCAGCCTTTGGCAAAAAGATTTCCCTCTGCTACATGTGCTTTTGATTATGGTCTAGCCATTCCGCAGCGTCTTGAATACGCAGCCCCTCATCTCTTATCTAGTTCCCGAAGGAGCGTCAGTCCTGGTGGATGCACAAGAAATCACCCCACTACTCTTCCTTTCATTCTGGTTCGTAGAGGAATGCAGCTGCTCATGTGCCCCAAATTCTGCGCAGAATTCAGCAAGGCTTAGGTCAAGACGCCCAACGCAGCCGATTCGCGAAGTACGTAACTTCCAAGCGTTGGGGGAACATCCCACATCGGCCGGATAGACTCCTACCAAGGACACCAAACTGCCTGCATTACCTGCCTTGCCGCCTTCAAGTGTTCATAGTTATAGTAAGTATTAGTAACAAGCACAAAGATCTCCAAATTTGATCCCTGCTTCCTGTTGCCGCGCTCTGGTCCACCGACTTGGGCTTGAAAGGCCCTGCCAAGTACAGCTGATGAGAATCAAACCACCCATGGCGCTGCTCATTGAACTAGCTGGACAAATTTCATGCCTCTTGTATCGTCCGTGTATGACCAAGTCCCGAATGTTGCATGGGGCATTCACCGCACGCTCAAGATTGCCGGCATGGCCTGCGCAAATGACTTCCAGTGCCTAGCACCGATGCTGGCCTTCACTGCATGGAGAACAGGTGAGAAAACTTCACCTGTCATCAGGCTCACAGCAAAAAACAATCAGCCAGGATTCTTATCAGACCCATGCGCAAAGTGGATGTTGCATATCAGTGCTTGACCGGGAGATTGACAAGCAATTAGTCGCTCTGTTCCTGTGATTCGAACACTCTACTACACGTTACGTGACAATATACCGCCAGCTGCACGCATCAAAGAAGCTTGCCTTGAGCTTGTGCCTGCCAAGCAGAGCAATCACTCTTCTTTCCAACGTGACCTGTGCTGTACTGTCTGGCACATCTTGCCAATCGCTGACACATCAACCTTTGAGGGTCTAGGGCTGAATAAGGTTCAGAAACATACATCCGGCATGGTCGACACCTGGAAGTGAAGCAAGCCGCGCGGTTGCCAGTACTGCCTGCCACGCCACAATACAAGGCCAAGAGCTTGCCTTCAGCTGATGATCTTGGTTAGTCTCCATCAGTGTCCCGTTATTGCCATCATCTAGGCCCGCAAAGTCAGTGGATGACAAGTCGAAGGCACTCCCCGTCCCGTCTTGGCCACGTGTTTTTTGAGGGTGACATGTGATGCTTGTTTTGCGCGGACTTTGACAAACATCAACTTACTGCTTCGGCACCTGTTGCTTCGTTTCGATGCTGGACGCCTTTATCGTTGATCTCCTCACCAGCAAAGCATGCGAAACTCAGCAGCAAAGCTTGGAGCAGATGACAACCTTTCAAAACGATGGGTA